CGCCCCCGGGTAGGTAACGCGCCCCCCCGCCCCGGCTCCCGCCTTCCCCTCTCCCTCCATCCTTGCAGCCTTGCCTGCTGCTTTGCTCAACTCGCTTCGCGGCGCCCGGCTGACCCAGCGCGCGACCCTGCGTTCACCCCGGGGGTTGGCCTCGACCGCCCCCGCGTGGGTGGCGCCCAGGACCCCGGGAACGCGCCTGGCCGCAGGGCTGTCCCCGTGTCCCCTGCCCGGCCTGCGGGGGGGCCCTGCAGCTGGCCGGGCCACCACGTGGCGGGGGCTCAATCCGACTTGCGTCCTCTCCCCAGATGTTCACGGAGGTAGGGGAAAGCCCTTGGGCCCACATCTGCGGACTGGTTACTGCAGTTTTCTTCCCCAGAGAGGCTTTGCCCAGAGACGGAAACCTGGGGGAAAGCCCGAGTCGCCAGGCGCCCAGGGAGCCGCTGGGGAAAGTTAACTCTTCGCCAACCTCCGGGCGGCCCAAGACCTGGGAGGCAGGACTCGCCCCACAGCCAACTTTGGCATCTGCCCTTCCACCTCCAGCAACGCTGGCCTCCCCTTTTCAGTGGGAGTCTGCCAATGGCCAGCGATTTTCAGAAAAGGGAAGGAGAACTAGGCATCTCTCCAGATCTAGAAACTTAAAAAACAAAAACAAAAACACCTTTTTAATATTAACCCGTAGCCCGTCTGACTTTAACATGAGGCACCTCACTAAGCCTGACGGTCACCTTCTCTCCACTGCCCCCATAAATAGATCCATTTGCCGTTTTCCTGAAAGACTACTACCACGTGGAGAACCCGATTTTATACTTTTAATCTTGTGTTATGATGGTGACAGATGGCAGCTGGACTGAATACCTGATGGGATTCTGTAGGTGCTGCAAGCCTTCAGTAATTGGTGCTCACTTCTCATCCATATGGATAGCTACATGTTTCTGAAGTCCACGTTAGATGGTTAGACCGTGTTTCACATTAAGTATCCTCTGCTATTTTATTTCCCCAGACCTGTTTTTACATGTGGCGGCATTTTTACTGGAGAGTCTGGATTTATTGGCAGCGAAGGTTTTCCTGGAGTGTACCCTCCAAATAGCAAATGCACTTGGAAAATCACAGTAAGCATTTTATTTTTTTTTTTTCAGGTATTCTCCTGGAAGTGGGCATTGGAAACAGCGTCTGCTGCTGTCTTTTTCCTCTGGGGTCGGGATTTGGGTTAGAGGCACATGCGTGAAATCATGAAATGTTGGATTTCCCTCAAGTATTTGAGGGATTTTTATGAATAGATCTCCTGGTGTCCTGCATTAGCGATTAGCAAAGGCTGGCGACCATGCCCGAAGGTATACATTCTTACCGCAGATGTGTTTCTGAAAAGCACACCGGACTCAGTTGAGTTGTGGATAATGTATGGATTATTAGGACTGTTTTCAAAGGCCGGTAGTAATGACCTTGGACGTTATTTGTTGCTCAGGCCTTGCATAAGGTCCCAGTGGGAAATAGAAGATATAGGTGCGTCTTTGCTTTTTACCAGGGGTGCAGGGGTGGAGAGGCGAAAGAGCAAACGAGGGCCAATAACATGCCCATGCTGCTTAGTAATGGCACAGATTGAGCTGAGTCAAGGTAAGAGGCTGGATTTAGCGACGGCCAGTTGTAGAAAAAACAAGAAGTCTGGATTTGGAGTCCGCCGACCTGAGTCATCGTCCCCGTCAGCAGGGACTGTTAGCTACCCCGCCCTCACGTTGTGGGGGACTTGTCTGATAATTCAGTGGACACACGAGTTCACGGAAGGCTTCATTCAGTCAGATTATGCCACCCATAGGTTATGATGGTTTTTTCAAATTGCCCAAAGGTGCGGTCAGTCGCTAGAGACAGGGAGACAGGCAGAGGGAGAAAGCACCCTCCAGTGGGCGTGGTCACTGTGTGACTCCGTCTCCATGTTGCCACCCTGTCGGGATTTGGGGCATGCATGGACATGCGCCCAGCGTGTTTTTCAAGTTAGTGGTGCAGAGAGTAGAACTGCAGTTGGCTTTGTGGCATCCGATTTCCTTAACCACTAGGCCACAGGGCCAGCCCAGGATGATGACATTTAAAAAGTACCTGTCTCTGTGTCAATAGCCCTTACCGTGTGCCAGGCACCTCCTGGCCGAGTAGTTAACAAGTATAGTCACTAAACCCTCAAAACCTTCTGTTAAAAAGTAACTGTTATTATCCCCATCTATAAAATGGGGGAAGCTGAGGCCTGAGGCCTGAAATGATTTTTAGGAATTGACTTGGTCTAACAGCTGGTAATGCCCAACTCTCTGTAAAGTCGAATTTATTTTGCAGTGAGACATTCCCACCAAGATCATTTGGCAGGCAGAGATGAGGGGCCCTCTCTTCATAAAAAAGAATTCTCCTGTTACATACATTGAGGCCTTCCTATAAAACAGCAAGTGTCGGATGAACTCGTACAGATTTTACTATGTTCTTGTAGCACATGGCCGAGAGAGAATCAGCGGTGGAAAATGACTTTGAAGAGCTAGCCCTGCGGCACAGCGCGGAGGGAGTCAGAGTCCACATGGTGGACAGCAGTTTGAGTCCCTGTCCCAGAGGCCTGGAAAACACCCTGGGTGTGTGTTCGGGGCTTGCATGCCCAAAACCCTAATGGAAAGGAGACGTGGAGGTGGAGGAAGGATTACAGTGTGACCAGGCTCCACTGCGGGTGTACTGTCTCTCTCTTTAACTCACACTGTGTTACACACATGGGGCCTCTGTCATACAGAAAAAGAAAGGAAGGAAAGAAGGAAGGAAGGGGAAAGAAAAAAGGAAAAAAGGAAAGAGAGAAAGAAAGGAGAAAGAAAGAAAAAAGAAAAGAAAATACTGATGTTAGCATAAGTATAAAACAATCAGAAACAAACATCAGAGTAACTTGGTTTTCCTATTATAGATATTTTAATTGTGATTAAAATGACCGAACAATTGAATGTCGAGGGCCATCCTGTCTCTAACAAGTAGAAATTCACTAGTTAGTGGTGTGTTTGAGGCATTAGGGGCAGTGTAGGTGTGGCATCAAGCTTTTACTGGAGGGTGGGAGCGCCACTGATATAGAAGGGGTTTGCTCAGGAGGGTCCTGGTTGCCTCATTTTTGTGGGCGGCAGGGAGGTGTAATGGGTACCCCGTGTGGGTGTAATGTAGTTCACTCTGTGAGTTCGTCAGTCAGACTTCTCTGCATTCAAATTCTCATTCTATTATTCATAAACTGTGTGACCAGAATTTATCTTCTGTAAGCCTCAGGACTTTTGTAAAGACAAAATGAGACGTGTATGTAAAGCCCTTTAACTCAGAGCCTGAAGGGAAAAGCAGCCGGGTTTGTCTGAGAAATAAGTCAAGGAGGTCAGTGTGGCTGAACCAGAATGAACCAGGGGACAGTGGGACGGTGAGCAGGGCCCTGGAGGCCACAGTCGGGAGTTTGAATTTAGTTTTGGCTAGGAAGCCACTGGAGGATCTTCAGCGGAGGAATGGCATGATCTGATTTTTTTTTTTTTTTTGGAGAGATTTTCACTGTAGGGCGCGTGCGCTCGCCAGGCAGACAGAGAGAGACATAGAGACAGAAAGCGAGAAATCACCCCCCAGGGGGGATGGTCACGCCGCAATCCCTTCTCCTCCATTCTCCTCTCGGGATCTTGGGTACGCACGCACATGCGCCCGGCGTGAGTTTTAAGCCACCGGGTCCAGGACGCGAACCGCGGTCGACTACGTGGGAGTCCAGCGACATAGCCGTTACGCTAACTGCTGGTTCCCGCATGATCTGATTTTAAAAGCTCATTCTGGCTGCGTTTGGAGGACAGCTTGTGGAGAGCTAAGAGTGGAAGCCCGGAGACCAGTTAGAAAGTGAATTAGGCGACAAAGATGGTGGGTTGGTGAGTAGAGTGGACAAGGGTGGTAACAGAGAGGATGAAGGTGGAGTCTTCTGCCCCAAGTGGCTCCTCAGCATTTCTGAGGCCAGTTAGGGTGTAGTGGCACCAGCTGGGAGGCCGGGTGCACCAGGCTATGGCCCCTCGCTTGGCCACTGTTCTAGACGGGGCTTTGCCCTGCTGTGGCCTTGTCCAAGGCAGTCTGTGAAGGCTTTCCTACAGCTGGTTTACCAGGTCCAGTTCCCTGTCATGTCATCAGTAAACCAGTATTAGAACTCCCACTGGGTGATTCGGTATCACTTGTATTAAAGCATCACAGAGGCCCAGCGATGGTAGTGCTCTCTGGTTGATGCTGTTACTCATGGGAGGCCCAGGTTCAATTCCCAGCTTACTCTAAGAGCCACATGTGGCTATAGTCCCTCCCGGCTACTGAGGATGCCAAGGCAGGGTGATCATGACACAGTTACTCCTTTTTTAAACAACAACAAACAATATCACAGAGACCTCTCTCAATGGGAGACTCTCAGAGTAGTTCTCAAGCTTCAGTTCCTGTAGCTGGAGAAAAATGTCCTGCTTAAGCTCATCTGCTTCCCATTCCATTCTTCCAGACTGAAGATGTGTCCCAGCAAGGTGGCTTCACCACCAAATGGTTTTCATTCAACTGTATCTAGTCAGTGGGAGAGGGAAAAGTCTGATTTTTAGCATCTGTGTGCTTTAAGAAAGGTGAATGCCAATCATCACACCCAAACTTTCAAGCCAATCATGGGACTTTCTGGTATGGGAGTATAACTTGCAGATTGGAAATTTAGACTTGTTCTTACATTATAGTACTTTGACATTTAATACAATTTCTTGGACACCTGCACCGTCTAACGCTCTATAAGGTTCCAGGGGTTGTCTTCAAGAAGATATGGAAAATGTATCATATGAGAAAACTATGCATGGATTTCTAATTTTGCAACAAATTAAACTCCTAGTTTAATTCCATTTTTCCTGAACTTTGGGGTCTCCTACTATCTACAAGGACTGTTTAAATGAACTAAATTCAATTACAATTTTAGTTCCTTAGTCACCAGCCACATTTCAAGGGCTCTGTAGACACACATGGACAGTGGCTACCATATTGCTCAAGGTATGAACGTTTCTGTCATCACCAGAAGTTCCTTGGACAGGGCTCTTCTAGAGAATTTTCAAGGTTGACGTTACTCCTGTAAAGGTATGTTGGGGACAGAGGTGGTCCATCTGCGTACTTGCACTGCTTAGCGAGCGGGAAAGCAGATAACGTGTTCTCTGTAGTTGTTGTAGTGACTGGAACTCAAGCTTCTTGACTCAGCTTTATCTTTCTGGCCACCAACTCCTGGTGACTGGAACTTGTCTTAGGTTTTACTAATTACTTTGCTGAGTGTGTTCTTGAAAATGTGTGGCTAGAGATAAGTCAGATAAATAATTTGAGGGTTAAGAAATAGCTAACTATTTTCGGGCGTGTGTGCGTGCATGCCCAAGATCCTGAGAGGAGAGTGGAGGAGAAGGGATTGCGGCATGACCATCCCCCCTGGGGGGTGATTTCTCGCTTTCTGTCTCTATGTCTCTCTGTCTGGTGAGCGCACGCGCCCTATAGCGAAAATTTCTCAAAAAAAAAAAAGAATAAAAATAAAAAAAGAAAAAAAAAAGAAATAGTTAACTATTTTGTAATCCATTATGGGGGTGGGAGTTTTTATAGTTTCCTACAGAAATTGATTTGGGGGAATCTGCATAAAATATCTTCATCCTCATAAATGGGGAGTTGGTGGCCAGGACTTGAGTTTGGTTTGACAGCTGTGGTGTATAATCCTTTGGGAAATGGTAACAGGTCTATTTCTAGGCAGGCTTGTAAGAACAATGGGATGATAGGGTGGGAGGGAGGTGAGGCAGAAATACCATAACTGATGTAGGGATAAAAACCAGTAACCCCACCTGTACCAGCACTGCAGTAAGAAATGGAAATCCGAATGTTGGCACACCACCTCCTGGACCTCTCTAGATCATTGGTCCTCCTGCGGGACAAGATGGTACATGGGAGATGGTAAGGCATTTCCGAGATCCTTAAAGGAGGCAGGGAGAGTAGACCACTGTCGCCAAGAGCCAACCAGTGTTTCTCCAGGGACAAGAAACATTTAAAAGACCCACCAGGCACAGTGCTCCTGACATAATGGTGACTTCATAGCTACCTGCTAAGATGCGTTTCC